CAGCCTCAGTTTCTTCTTCTGCAAAATGGGGATAATAATAACACCTTTTGTAAACTTGAAATGAGAACCTTTATGTAAAGCAGTTAGCAAATCTTAAAGCACCACATAACTGGTAGGTCTTATTGTGATTTGTGGGAAAGGCAGAATTCACATATAGGTTGTCCAATCCTATCCACACTAGAAGAGTGTGGCTCCCAAGAGCCATTGTACAGCCTCCATGTCTTTCCTGAGGTTCACTAAGCTCCTTGGAATATCTATTTAGAATATTCCCCTCTCACCAAAATCCTTTCTTCTCCTTTTCCTGACCCCTCTGCCCCAACCTAGACTGGTTACAGAAATCTGGCTAGGTTTGCTATGAATGCAAATAGCAGCTGCTTCAAATTGGGCTGGAAAAGGAGAAGTCCAGGCCTGGAGCGCCAGCAGCAATGACACACTGTCCTCATGATCAGGATCCCCTTTGTCTGTCTCAGCCAAGCTGTGGGTTCCACTGCCAGACTGGCTTTTCTGGTTGTCTGTCTCTGCTCAGCAAAACTCCTTCACCCCGTCCCTCTAAATCTAGTAATTATGGCATCAGTGCCTAAAAAGCTCTGTGAGGAACGGATTAGAAAGAACCATTGTGGCAAGCTGTGCCAAGGTACAGTACTTTTGAAAATTCTCGAAACATGCATTAACCCAGGCTAATCATTTTTCCCCATCTTAAATACATTTGAAATGAGCTATGTATCTGTGAGCCTCTGACAGGAGGGACTACTTTGCTGACATCAGGTAAATGTGCAATCAGGGAGTTTTAAAGGCTTTCAAATGCAGTACAGCTTACAACCCAGACCTGTAAAGTGCCAATAAGCGACACATCAGATGTCTTGAAAACAAAACAAAGCTCATTTCTGCCCTTTGTTTACACAGCCCTGAATGTGAGGGTCTCTCCCAGCTGGAGAGCACTTGACTCAGAATGGGATATGCAAAATGCAGATGATAAATTAGGGACCTCTGAGGAAACCACTTTCAAAAAGTGCTATTAATTTGACCTATAGAGTGCGGTGAACAGAGAATTGAGATAGGAAATCCATAGATGTGGGATCCCATTTCTGATTGGCCACTGGATAGCCTTGGACAAATAATCTCACCTTTGAGGACCTCATTTCTTCAACTGTAAAAAGAAGATTGAACCAGTTGATCTTCAAGAGCCCTTGAAACTCTAGCTCCTAAAATTGTGTATTGCACCTATTGGTAGGGGGTTAGATTAGATGATCTTGCACATTCCTTCTAATTCTGGGATTCTATGAAGTGATGAGGCATATCCCCTGCACCAAAGTGTTGGGCCCGTTGGGAGACTTCTCAAGTCTTCATACTTATCACATCCCAGATTCTTCTTTGCTGCATTCAGATTCCAGTGTGGTCTCCACTTGCAGAAGCAAATACACAGATGGAAGAATTAGCACACCAAGATCTATCTTGGATAGGTAGCTCCACGCATCCTTCCAATTCTAAGTTTCTGTGAGCCTATTATTCTGAAAAGGATTTGACAATGCATCATGAAAGGTAATTTGGGTATCCCTTATGCAAGAGAAATATTCATTTTCAACAAATATGTATTAATTGTTTTCAGACAATCATAATGGGATTGATGCAATATGAAAATGAAATAAGATTCTTGCCTTCATGGAGCTTAGGAGGAGGACATGAATGAAGAATGCACAAATGATCATAATACATAGTGAATATACATGATAATTGCAAACCAAGTTGGTTTTCATGGTGTGGAGAGTGGGGAAGAGGAGTGATTATCATTACTGACTAGTGGGATCAGGGATAATTTAATGGGAGATTTGCCAACATTTGAGCATGGCCTTAAGGAACAGGTAAGATTTCAATAGTCAGAGGTTGATTGAAGTGGGGAAGGATGGATGGTGGACATTCCAGGCACAGAAAGTATGAGCAAAGGCATGGAAGGGACCACACAGCATATGCGCAGAAAAATAACAAGTTAAATTTAAATTAATTAAATAGAACAGTTTGGCTACAGTGGTATGACCAGTGTGAGATAAAAGTGGAAATCTTGGGTGGCATTCAACTATGGCAAAAGCTTTGAATGCCAAATCAAGAAGTTTTACATACATTTGATAAATAATAGTGAGCCACAGAAGAGTTGTGAGTAGAAAAATAACTTTAATAAATCTGACTAGCTATATTTTCTGAAAATAAAATTAAAATATAACAAATCCCATTTCCATTATAAAATGGGCTATTAGGGCAGCCAAGGGGAAAGACCTGAATTCATATCTTGCCACAGATACCCACTAGATGAGTGAACCCTTGACAAGTCACTTACTGTCTCTCAGTCTCAGTTTCCTTGCTTATAGAATTAGGATAATAATAATAGCACCTCTATCACAAGGTCTTGGAGAGGATCAAATGAGATAATATATACAAACCTTTGCAAACCTGAAAGAGCAATGTAAATGTTAGTTATTGTGATCATATAAAGTTGAGGAGGATAAGGTGGTGGGTTGCAGAATCAGACAGTGCTTTGGCGAGATGTAGTTTCAGGATTATAGAACCCCATATTTCAAAGCTGGAAGTCAGAGGTCATCTACTCAAACCCATACACAAGCAAGACTTCCATCTATAGTAGGTAGATAACAAGCCAGGAAGACCTGAGCTCCTTGCCTCAGACACTTATTAGTTGTGTGACCTTGGGCAAGTCACTTAACCTCTGCCTGCCTCATTTTCTTCATATGCAAAAATAGGGATAATAACAAGTATCTTACAGAATCACCACAAATCATGTGACTGATATATGTAAAGTGTTTTACAAGCTTGAAAATTCTATATAAATGCTAGCTATTGTTAGTTATAACATACCTGTCAAAATAAGGATGGGAATAAACATTTATATAGCACCTACTATGTGACAGGCTTTGTGCTAAGTGCTTTAAAAATATTATCTCATTTGATCCTTACAACAAACCTGAGAGATAGGTGCTGTTATTATTCCCATTTTATAGTTGAGGAAACTGAGGCAAATAGAGGTTTAAGTGACTTGCCCAAGGTCACACAGTTAGTAAGTGTCTGAAGGAAGGAGCTCAGGTCTTCCTGACACCCAGGCCCAGCACTTTACCCACTGCACCACCTAGTGCCCTTTCCTGAAAAAATGCCTGTCCTAACAAAAAGCCTTTATGAAAAACACTCCAATGAGGAGGAACCCATTCTCTATGAAGCCCATTACACCTAGTAATAGCTATGATTATTTAGAAGTTCTAAAATAAGTCAATTCTAAACCTCTCTTTCTGCAGCTGCCCACTTGGGGCCAAGTAGAGAGAAGTCTCCACCACTCTATTGGCTAAAAGTGAAGCAGCTAGTGTCTCTTCAGGAGATAGCAGAGTTCTGCCATTATTGAGTTGATGAAGTTAAGATCTAATAGGCATCCTATACAGCCCTACAAAGAAAACCTGAACATTTCATGGAAATGAGTCTCAAAGTAAAGTGTTTCCCATTTAGACTATTCCACTCAAGAAATGTCCTATGTCCATGAAGAAGAAACAAAAATATTAGCCTAAATCCTGAAATGTTTTATTTAGAGTATGTTTTGCTCCATTATAACGTAAAAGAACTGCTTCTAAGAGGAAAATCTGAAAAATGCACATTTTGCTTAGCAATTGTGATATTCATATATCACAGATAAAACTCATGAATTGGCTCATGTTCATCAGGACCAGAAGTTCTACCTGGAATGACACCAACATTTTTATCAATATCAGTTTTACCCACAGTGGAAACACTTGCGAAGCTTTCATTTTGCCAGGATCAACAGACACAGTGTGATGGTGATGACCAGCGTTTTGCAGGTAGGTGTGACTGATTCTGTGGCCCTATCTACCCTACAGCTAAAAAAATATCATTCTTGGGGTTGCAATCCTAGCTGCTTTTTTCAAAGCCTTGTTGGTAACACTGCTTGTTAGATCTTTTTGAGAAGGCATGAAGTACTCACCAGGCCCTTCCCTCTAGGCTCATGTTGCTGATTCTAAGGTTTCCCAGCTATCCACACTTGAACCTCTCTGTTGGAAGTTTTGGTTCAATAGTCAAATGAAGCTATATTTCTATAGAAAAAGAACAATCAGAGGTTCCTTATGTTTTCAATTCATATGAGTTTAGATTCAGAGATGCCATTCTAGTAAAGAGATTGTTAACCTAGGATCCAGAGACTGCTCAAATGTCCATAGATAGATATGAGGAGGTATATGAACTTGGAACTTCCAATATTTTTACAGCTATTTCAATATAAATTGTTTTCTTTTATAATTCTATGCATTTTATTACTTGAATTTAAAAATATGATTCCAAGATAGGCTTCATCAGATTGCGAAAGGGGTCCATGACACAAAAAGGATTAAGAACCCCTGATCTAGTCTAACCTCCTCATCTGGCCTAGGGAAATGAAATGACTTGCCCATGGTTACAAGGAGCTAGGATTTGAACCCAGGACCTCAGATTCTAAATGCACGACTCTTTTCATCTGCGAGTACACTTATGAGAAGCCATTCAAAGCCTTTCAAGACATTCAAACCATTAAGTCATAGCCCAGGTAACCTTGCATATTTTACCTGAAGTGCAGGCCTAATCCTGAGCAGGAATTAAACAGACCAAAGCCCAGCCTTGTCAGCTCACATACTACATGGTGAGAGCAAAAGATCCCCAGGTATTTTATTCACTGCAATCCCACTGGGCTGTCTGTGAAGAGTCTACCTACAGGCACCTGCAGTCCCACAGTGTAGTGAATTAAAGAGGGGAGAGAGGATTATGACATAAACAATGAACTCAGTCTTACCTATGTAAATGCCCATCTGTCCCTTGGCATCCTAGTTGTAACAGTAGGTCATGACTTGAAGAAATCAAGCAGCTGGTGTTTTTAGAGATAGAGTGTGCTATCAAATAGACCTTGGGACTCTGGAAGGGGGTGACATTTTGAATCATATGTAGAAGGCAGCAATCATGTAGGGGCCATGGAGGAAGCAACATGCCTCTGTTCTCCATGCTGTCCATGGGAGATTATCTTACCCAGGTCATGCATGTGCCTGTGCATGAAGTTTCTTCTCACTACAGAAAGGAACTGCACCTGCTTCCCCTGCCCGTATGAGGATGACGGAAGATGCCAGTTCTGTCACTGTACCTGTTCCGATTCTCCCAATTGTCACTGGTGCTGCTGCTCCTGCGCCAATGACCCCATCTTAAAGTGCTGCTGTATTTGTCCCAGAGGAAAATCTTCCTGCCACTTCTACGACGCCCGCTGCCACCACCGGGCACTTTTCACTGCTAAATCCCCGTAAGTACTCTAGGAACCCATGCGTAGACAGATGCCCATCATAACCTGCTGAGGCCAACTCCGTTCCAGTCAATCCAGTCAGGATTTGTTTAATAAGCAACTTCCCTAGCAAACTAGAGCCCATCGTGACTTTTTCCTCCTCCTTGGGAATCATGACATTTCCTTTCTGCATCACCCATTGGCTAGTGCATGACTTTTCCAGGTTCTGTCCCCATCCTTTAAGGCCCAGTTCTGATTCCTCCCCCTCTACACAGTCTCCCTAGACTATCTAGGCCTACACTGTTTCTCCTTTAGAAGAGACTCAGACTTTCAAAGTCACCTAGTCCAAACCTCTCATTTTACATATGGGGAAACTGAGGCCCAGGAAGAGTGAAGCGGCTTGCCCAAGGTCTTGCAAAGTAGTAAGCAGTAGAGCAGACAATCAAACCCAGGCCCTCTGACTCTAAACTTTCAAAATGTTGGACCACTCTAATATGCTGCTCATTTCATAGGATCATCAAACTTGAGGTTAAAGGGACTTTAAAGGTCAGGTTATCTCATCTCATCTTACAGATAAGGAAATTGAGGCCCAGCGAAGTTATCATACTTGCCAAAGTAACACAGCAGTCACCTAATCAAGACTTGAACCCAGGACCTCTGATTTCAAAAACATTGGTGTTTTGTCTTATCCTACCAGTGGCATCAGTAATGCATGCTTTCGTCTTGTAATGTTCAGGGTTTTTGTTTTGTTGTTGTTGTTGTTGTTGTTGTTGTTATTTGTTTTGTTGTTTTTTGTTTTTTGTTGTTGGTTTTTTTTTTTGGTGAGGCAATCTGGGTTAAGCAACTTGCCCAGGGCCACACAGCTAATAAGTGTCAAGTGTCTGAGGCTAGATTTGAACTCAGGTCCTCCTGCCTCCAAGGCCAGAGCTCTATCCACTGTGGCACCTAGCTGCCCCTGGGTTTTTTATTTTTTTTGTATATTTATATTTTGTCTCTCCAGCTAGAATACAGGCTGCTTGAAGGCAAGCATAATGCCTTAGATTTCTTTGTATTCCCTATAACATATTCCTAGACAATGTCTTGCATGCCATAAGTACTCAATTAAATAGTCATGATTTAAAATTTTTTTTATTTGAAAATTAAGTCTATCCTGTTTTGTGACATCAAAGCAAAACATTAGACTAAACAACATTGCTGGAATCAGTTAATGCCACAGGAACAGTGTCTGAAATACTTAACAGATACAGTTACAGATAGATGGCCAAAATCCAGGTAACAAAACCTTTAAAAAAGTTCTTAGAGACATAAAACTCTAAATGTAGGAGAAAAAAGTCTGGACAGATGATCTGGGTTTGAGTTACAACTTATGATGCTTACTGACCTCACTCAAGATACTTCTCTGTGCTCCAGTTCCCTCATCTTTAAAGCAAGAAGGTTGAACTAGATGAATCTTAAGGTGCTGTTATGTTCATCTTCATAATAGTACTACTGACTCAACTTCCCCACAACTTCCTTCTTCCCTGCCCCAGAGACCTTGTGTGATTCTCACTGAGTCAGCAAAAGATGGAGGCAATCCATCCCCTTTATGCCTATCGCTGTCATGTTGACTTTTCAAAAATCTCACCACCTTACACAGCTTCATATCTTTTCATTCTTCCATCCACAATATTAGGGAATGGAGCCAACATTGCTCATCTCAATGAGGAGAAAGCAGTCATTCTGATTGTCTGCCTTTTTTTCTTCATCCAAGCTAGAAACTTGAAAGGGACAGGTCTTCACAGGAAGGGGGAAAAGAACCAGGGAGATGACTCCCTTGTGACCGATTCATTGATGAAACCTCTTGGGCCCACCTGACAACTGTTTTCCGAATGACCATTAAAGACCCTGTTGAGCTGCTATGCACAGTGTGTATGGGGAATTGTGTCTTAAAGGATTAATCCCCAAACCTAACAGCAGGGTTTATAGCATTAGAGTAGGATTTTATTTTTAATGTATTAAGGATATTGAGGAGCAACTTTGATTGGGGACCATTGTGGGGGAAGTGTCTAATCGTGTTATGTGCATAAATCTCTCTCCATCTAAATTGTAAGCTGCTTGGTTTTACCCACCATGCCTAGTCCAGTACTTTGGGCTATTAAGTACTTGATAAATTTGTAAGGTTCTCCAAACATTCTTCTTTACAGATGACACTGTGGCAATAATATCACAGGGCCTTCTCAGTGAGATTTCATGGACATTTAAAAAAAATTAACACACGCAAAAAAAAAAAAACAAATGAAGAACAAATGTCCTAATTAAAGCATGTAGTTGGAAGGGCAACCCTATTGGATTAGTATATCAGTACCTATATCTCATGAAGGCACAGTATGCAGATGGACAATAAACTAGGACAATTGAATGGGACAGCTAGGTGGTGCAGTGGATAGAGTGCTGGGCCTGGAGTTAGGAAGATTCATCTTCCTAAGTTCAAATCTGGCCTCAGACACTTAATAGCTGTGTGACTCTGGGCAAGTCAGCTGTCACTGAGACCCCATTTGTCTCAGTTTCCTCATCTGTAAAATGAGTTGGAGAAGAAAATGGAAAACCACATCAGTATCTTTGCCAAGAAAACCCAGAATAGGGCCATGAAGAGACAGACACAACTGAAAACAACTGAACACATAATTGAATGAGAGGAGAAGAATGAAATATATTTGCATATGGGTAACTGCATAGCACTTTCAAGTTGCTACCTGCTGCTAAAACCCATCTTTTTTAATACCACTACAATATTCTTCTGATGATGACCCATTATGTTGTGAACTGCTGAATGGCAGGAGCTTTTGCCTCTTTTTGTATCCCCAGCGCTTGGAACAGTGCCTGGTACATAGTACTTAATAAATGTTTATTGGCTGATTGATGCTTATGGATGTGAATGAGAGAATGTTATGATCTCCCAAGAATGTGTCAAAGGGGATCATGGGGGGAGATTCACAAGAGGTGGGGGTAGGCTGAAGTGTATGATCTGTGATGACTTGTGTACAGGAATTATAATAAAAGGCACCATCAAGGAAACAGATATCGATATGTGTATGTATGTATATTTATGCATGTATATTTACATATACATTGTATATGTACATTTATATCAGATTTCATCACAGAAGAATATTGTACATATATATGACTAGAAAAGGAGATAAGTTAATCATATTGTGAGATCAAGGTATAGACAAGCATGAATATTGCACGAGTATACTTGAAATATTAAAAGTCTTGAAAGATCTTCTGCATGATGGGCATAGCATTTATAGAGGATTTATGGAAGGACACAGACAAAAATCACAGATGACGAGAAGGTGATGATCTAATGTTGGAGGGAGTTTCCGCATGGATGAGATCTCAGAATATTAAAATATGGATGAATTACTAAGCACTGCCTATGTGCTAGATGTTGTGAGGAAGATGAGAAGGGTCAGACATGGCAGCTGAGTTGACTCATCTGTGTGAACCTTCTCCAGAACATGGAGGATGAAGGCGGGATCTCATGGCTGTAGGAACTTCTCAGAGCTCAGTTGCCTCTTTCCACAGCATAAGTGGCTGTCTGTGAAAAGTGATTTGAGGAACAAAAGAGAAGCACCCTCCTCTGATGCTACTTCAATTAGTTCTTTGGCTTAGGAGTTTCATAGATTCTAAACTCTTTTAAAACACAAATATCTCTGGGAGGGTGAGCAGTCAAATTGTATGTAACAAACCATAAAAAGTTAGAAAAAGAAGCAACCCTAGAATTTATCAGATCATTTTCCTCTCTAATAAGAAGGGTATGGTCAGGCTTGAAACCCTATCAGCCTACAGTTAACTACAGAAAGGAAGGCACATCAAAGGCCATTATAGATAAAACTATCTTCCTAATGCTTCAAGGCTAAGGATTTGATATTTAGGATCCCTGGGTACTGAGATGGGTAAATTGTCCTTCAGAATGGTCAGAGATTAATGTTTCTGTGTACCGTTTGGGAGATAAAAAGCAATGAATTCCCAAATGGACATTCTATCCTTTGCCTGTTTTCTGGTGGCTATTGCCTACTCTCACTAATGTTGGAAGTCTGTAGGCATAAAACAAAGATATCTCCTAGAGAAGTGTTCTCAGGATAGCATAGCACATGATTTTGGACAGATTCTTTCCACTAATGGCCTCATTCATTAGGATGTCCATTATGAGAGCAAAAGAAAAAAAAGATAACCCATTTGCTCTACAAGACTATACCCCTTCTCTTTGATTCCTTTTCTCTGCTTTTATCCCTATTTTTCTCACTTTTTTCCTTCCTGTGATGTTCCTTATTCCCATTCTGTCACTCCTTCTTCCCTCATTTCTCTCACTCTCTCTCTCTCTCTCCCTCCCTCTCTCTCTCTCTCCCCTTCTCTCTCTTCCCTTCCTTATTATCTTGTTTTCCCACTCATCTTCTAAATCCTGCAAATACACACTGATGAAGAATACTATAATCCTTTTTATTCTGAAGACAACTTACAAGTAACTTCCAGTCCTTACCCCCCCTAAACTAAAAACCCTGACTACCCCGTGTCTACCACAGACCAATATGATTAGGCAAGGGGACATCTTCAAATAACGACTGTCAGCACCATTCCTTTCTCCATTCCCTTCTATCTCTTTCTATATTAAAGCATTTTAAAGCCTTCCTCAATAAATTTCTATTACTCTAGACTAGTAGACAAATAAATTCTTCTTAAATTTCATTAGATATAATACATTTCTGACCAAAAACTCATAATCTTAAATCATGGTCCAAGAAAAAAATAAGGATAAACTTTTGTCCTCCCCCCAAAAAGAAAGATGAAAAACTATTTTCATTTTTCAATATTTCCCCTTGCACCATTATTGTCATCCTAGAACTGGACATATTTCTAGTTTTGTAAGGGAAGAAGCATGGAGTGCACATAGAGGGGGAACATTGATCTTGAGTCAGCAAACCTGAGTTAAAATTCTACCTCTGATTTTAGTAGCTACGCAATCCTGGCAAGTCACT